TCGTGTGACTTCTTCAACTTGCTTTTGGAGAAAATAATTCGAGCTGCAGAACTTAACAGAGAAGGTAAAATGTMCAGTTGCTGGCGCATGCTGATGATATTGATATCACTGGCCTTAACAACCGCGCCGTTAGTCCTGCTTTCCCCAGAATGGATAAAGCAACGAAGCAAATGGGTCTGGCGGTGAACGGTGTCAAGACAAAATATCTCCTGTCATCAAACAAGCAGAAACGCACTCGTGACTAGGCACCGACATCACTGTTGACAGTCATAACTTCGAAGTCGTAGATAACCAACACCAACGTCGGACTAAGTATTCATTTGAGAAGTAAAGTCCTCTCTCGTCGAACAAAAACCAAACTCAATAGGTCACTCATTATTCCCGTACTGCTATATGGCGAAGAGGAATGGACGGTGACAACATCTGATGGGGAGAAAGGTTCTGAGGAATATGGTCCCTTGCGCGTTGGCCACGGCGAATATCGTATTCGATGGAACGATGAGCTGTATATGACGACATTGACATAGTTCAGCGAATTAAAAATAGTGGTTACGCTGTCGTCCGAATGGACGAAAACACTTCACCTCTGAAAGTATTCGACGCAGTATACGCCGGGGAAGCAGAGGAAAAGMCCTCCACCTTGAGGGACCAGGTGGTGAAKGACCTGGCTTCGCTTGGAATCTCCAATTTGCGAACCGTGCGTAAAAGAAGAAATCGATGCGCAGTGACGGGAAAATCGCGCATCACAAACAAGGTTGCTGTTTTTTGACATTTACATATGTATGCATGCGTAGTTATATGATGGCGTAGTCAGTTTGATAAAYTTTGTTATTAATTATTATTTTTATATAAATTTGCATTGAATTAAGAGATTTTGGCAAATGTGCTTATGATGAAAATTATATATTTTCCTATAGTTACTATACGAGATGGCACACATAGAGCGTATTAATTTTAAAGTTAATTGTATGGTTAATAAAAATGGTCTTAGGTGCTAAATGCAGATGGACAGGCAGTCAGACTGTTCGAATAGTTTTAGATGTTACAAACGGCAGTTTGATAAACAAAACTAATATACTCAAGCAATATGTTTCGAGTATAAAAAATGTAAATATACTTTCAAATGCTATTCGTATTTAGAACACCTCAACCCTACGGTTTCTAAGCTAACATTCAAAGTGTTGTATATGTTTGATGGTGAAGTAGGTTCAAATTGTTTCGTTCCAAAGATCTTTGTGTTATTTGTGTTGCCTGTTTGTAWTATTTAATCTTTGGAACAGGTTAAAATATTAATTGTAAAATCATATAAGCTACATTACCAGCTTTAAGAAATTAAAGAGAATTTGTTTCAAAGATATTATGAAGCAGTTTGAATTAGAAAAAAATATGTTTTACATTTCAAGGATATTTAAATTTGAAATAAATTATATTATTTTAATTTAATTGTCTGATGACATTTTCRTAGACTGACATATTTAAAGTATTTTAGTAAAGACGCAGTGGGCGCATATTRTTTGTAACAAACGATCACTTAAATTGATTTGTACACATTTTTTTCATACGGTCAAGTGCTTTTCAGAACTGGAACAGGATGGAGGTTTTGAAGTGGTTCGCACAATCTCCTGATCTAAATCCCATAGAGATCCGGTGAAAAATTATAGATCAGAAAATTAGACGTGGACATTTTCAAAATGAGGGCGCTTTATTCACTTATWCAGGAAGCATGGAAAAGCATTTCCATATTAAATAAATTACGTCCTTGCGCTGTCGATACGCAATTAAATATTGAACWTTTTTTTTATTATTAAATGTAATATTTGCGTTTAGTTTCGGCGCACCAGAATTTTAGAATTTTTCATATATTAATTTTAATCATCAATTTTATTTTATAAGTTAATTATTTAAATTTTCACTACTGGAGAAGGATGAATGTCCTAATGATAAGAAAAATTAAATCATTAAATACCTAATTTACAAATTTAATCACTTAAATACCGACAAGGTAGATGCAGTGCTTTAGTTTTGTCGCACACTGTGTAATAAGATTTTCATGACTTTTTTGATTCAGTATAACACTGAAATACCTAATATATTATGTTCGTACATACATTTTTGGGAAGATAAATTACATCTAAAAACATTCCAAAAAAGCTAAATGCCTAGAATGCAGTTAAAAACATGAAATTWTTAGATCCTGTAAGTAACATATTTAATATTTTTTTATTCTTCCTACTACAAGCTTTTATATCTTTGTATTCTACGAAAGTTGGACGTAAGTAACATTTATAAAAATTGCATAATATATCACCAAAGTATTGCCTTCGATTATTACATATATAAGCAAGTAATATTAYATACATATGCATACGCTTTCAATATAATAATTTTGTATATATTTGGCGAGAATACAATTTTGTGTCTATTTATAAATTCAATAGCTGTTCAACTCGAAAAAAAATTAATTGAGTTGTTTTCGCCTTTCAACCATTTTGTGGCTTCCGACGAATGACAACCGATATTGAAATGCAGTAGTTTTCGCAGAATTTCTAAAAACAAATTTAATGTTTTTAAATTATTTTAGATTTAAAAGTTACTTTAATAAAAACATGTAAGCCGAATATTTCATACACTTACACCCTGCCCGGATCAAAGCCATGGAAATACCTATTTTRAGATGCATAAGGCTTGTAAGTTATATGGGGTCTAGGGCAATTTTCCATTTTAGGCACAAGGATTACAGAAAGACACACATCCTAAATTTTATTTCAAAAAAGGCACATATTTGTTGGTACATATATGCGGTATAAAGTAAACTGGAAGTTCGAAAAATTTTTCTATTATTTATTGCTATTTTTGACACCAAGATGAAGGAACAATCCGTATATAAACTGACATATTGAAGGACTCAACGATGACGTTGTATTTATGGTAACAGGGAAGCCCCCAAATACCACCTAGCCTAGGACTAGCCTTCAATACAAATAAAACTGACCTAATTTTCATTTCCAGGAGGTATAAAATTKTAAACCTTATCCGATCGTACGTATATGTATTATATGGACTTTTAAGCGTGAACTATTCAGTTTTTAGCATACTTTAGTGCAAAATAATAATGGTTTGTGCGCTTATTTGTATAAATTAAAGACTCTAGTAAGCTGAGGGCTTCTATTACCCTTTCACTAACTACTTTCCAATTGCGAAACATAGATCTTGTAAAATACAATCAAAAGTTAGCCACTGGCTGCGCGCACTTCACGACCACAATACCGCAATGAAATGTCAAAACTATAAACTGCATCCACGCGGCGAGTAACGYCTCGCATGCAAACGCGACCRTCAACATCGGAAAAGCTGGCGCGAAAACATCAACTTTGCCGCCGAAAATTTGGAGGCAAAGAATAACAAAAATAGACAATATAAGCTGAACCACCACCATCGAATAGCTGATCGCGCACACGCAAATGCTGAAAAAGTTAAACACTGAAATTTAAGTGCATTTAGATTTGTTGTCATACATACCTTTACTTTAAAAAATAATATTCAAATGGCTGTATCTGACTTCTAACAAAAAAAAATATCATTAATATTTAGCAACTCGCTTCTAAATCCTTTTATATTCATACAACCATATTTACATAAATTTATACATAAACAAGCACATAYACAGGATCGCTGATGAAGAATTCCAAAGCAACTGTGCTTGGCTTAAATCAAAGAAATCATTGCTATTTAGGTGTACTGCATCAAAATACTAACCAGTTGTTATAATTGCGCCAAAACAGATGATCGGGGCGCCAAATCAACAGCAACAACACACACACCACTATATAGCTACAATATTGTCAATTCATTTCGCACATTCCCCAAAAGACGACAATAACGTCAAGAGCGCACATCCAGCACTATAATGGAGAAGCGAAGATTGTAGGGCGAAATCTCACCAGTGAGAAAATAATACTACACGACGTCAGTCAGTTGATCGACTGGCTTTCTTCGCCGTGTACGTAATTATTGAGATTCACGTTTTGTTATATCAGCTGTTTGTCGTTTACTTTTCCATGAAAGCGGCGGCACAAATAATGCCAACGCTTCCATTTTGTGCCGGTCTAACAATAAAACTATTTGATGTTTATTGAAATATGCAAMTGCATCTATCTCAATTCAACGGCACATCTCACAAAATATATTTTATAGCGTACAATCAAAACTTTGACATAAATCTTCTATAGACCTCTAGTAGTCGTGCAGCTATCTAAATAACTGTATCCATTAGAACGTGTGTATTTTAATATTTGACAGATATCATTTGAAGTCTGTCGCCTCCTTTGTATTTACAGCATCACATTAGAAGTTACGTAGTCTTTCCGATTTCACATGTGCGAGGCAACATCGCGATATTATTCAAAAGGTAAGTTGTTTTTAAAAATTAACATAATTTTAATCGGCGTTGACCCTCTGAAACTATTACTCCAAGAATGTCCCTTGATTCGGTATAATCAGTTCTCATCCACGTATATTATAACGTTTAAATACCTCAGCGAAACTATAGTTAACGACATCAATAAAACTTAATTTTTAAGTCTTTCACATTGTATGTATGTGTATGTGAAGGACTACAAAAAAGTGCCGAGGGAAAAACTTTTAAGATACAACACTATTTACAATACTAACAAATAGCAAACAATATACACTGCGTTGACACCACGTCGACGCAATTTTTGCGTTTTGAAAGGCAACTTTCGCACAATAATTCCCAAATTTTATGAATGAAAACATGGGCATGTGTGGTATAAAATAAGAGGATATATATCCAGGAGTCAAATTTTTACACTTTTCGTAAAATCGGGCCCGGATTTTAYTCACTATCAACATTTCTATTAAACAATTTTGGCGCGCGCGGGCTTTTTGACGGCCGACATAACAGCGAAATAGGCAAATACTTATCTGAAATGTAGCGACTCGCAGCGAAGTTTTTGCTGAAATGCTAATGCGCGCGAGAGAGTAGTCTGGAGGAGTATATAACAACGACAGCCACATAAGTAAATTTTTTTTAGAAATCTTGCTGGAGATCGACAATTATAKCTACAATTGAGGAGTCATATTAAAGTACCAAAAATTTATATTTTATATGAAGAAATATTGCAGGTAGATTAATATTAATCCATTGCTTAACCATGGAAACATATGTAGAAATTTAGCAAGCTCATGGGCAATTAGGGAACACCCAAATGCATACATAAACTTACAAATGGTTGTGATAAAACTGACACATTTAATCATGACACTATAGAGTTCTTCACCTAAATAACGGGTGCAACTAGACCGATATATTACCGTCAATACAATACATATCCTGCATATATATAATGCACATTTTACTTACCAATATATCTTCCTCACAAATTTTTCAGCAGATATTCTGTACGATGGTTTAGAGCCTTCGAGGTAAATTTCTCCTAGTATATAAAGCTTTTCATTGCTCGATTCAAAGTTTAAAAGGATGTTTGCTTTTCATAGCATTTCCAAACCACCATGAAAAAGGATAATCCAAAACTGCCACTCGAAAATCAAAGGTTGCAATAACTAATATTTAGCACATAACCAAAGCCGTTCAGCCACGCGTTGACTTTTACTTGAGCAGAATTAACACTATAACAATAAAATGGTATTGAGTACTTCTCGTCGACACTTTAGCAACAGCAAAGGAAATATTCYTTATTCTATCAAACTGTACTATTTTACTTTTGCCAATTGTTTCCTAACGAATTTAAAGATTTTTTAGAAAGAAAGCAGCAACGACATTATAAACCAGAACCGAGTGACAATTTGTAAGCGGCTTTAGCTGCAAACAGCAATGCAAATATGGTGAGCTCTCTCACTGACATACCCACAAATTCGCCGGGAGTAATCACTGAGAGGCGCGCTATTTGACAGCTGTCAGCTGATCATGCCGATTCATTCAAAGAATAATAAACACATGAAAGTATCTTAGGTTCTTGCCTTTGATAAAGTAGAAAGGTATGTCCATAATCACTATTTTCGGCAGTTATATGCGGATATGATTTAAAGAGGATTATTTAGGTTTTGGATGAATTTAAGTTGGTGGCACAACCCTAATTCTAAAACTAATCTTTTTGCTTTATATGCTACAAGATTATAGTACTTATGAATATGAGTATCTTTTAAAGCAAAATTGATTTTGTATTGCGGAGAAGCTTACAGTTAGTTAAGTCAATTAAAAATCGTTTATTACTAAATTATTTGTTAACTCAAACAAACAATTATAGTTTGGAATAAAACTAAAATATATGTAAATTATAGATCATGCGGCACGATTCCGATTACTTTGGCGGAGGGGTAAAAAAAACCGAATTTCCGTATAAATGGGGTATGTGCGG